ACAAACTATCTATAATGCTTACAAGAATAGGCTACATACTAAAATATAATTAGAAGTACATTTAGCATCAAGCTACACTTGAAAATGTATGTAATTATTAATGTATTTGCTTACCCACTTTAAACCATCATCGAGTGCTTGTAATAACTTCCAGTTGTGATCTATAGTTGATTTTGATTAATAAGCAGACACATGCACTCTTTGTATGTTTAATAACGCTACACTGCTAATATTTGTCATAAACATCCTTTATTGCTATAAAAATGCCATGAGCTTCATACAAAACACATACAGAAAATAGATCGTCATAATCATGTCTATTTGCTTAACGTACATATTTCATGTGTAGAAAACGCGCTCTGATTCATAACACTCGCGGCACGTGGAAGAAAACGGACAGTGCTCTACAGATCACATAATTCAGTGGACAATTAATAGAAATGTTATTCTGTATAAAGAACATGTGAGAATAAATCTGTTCTCAAATACCAACGATAACAAGAACTCAGCATCCACTCTCTTCTCTTATCCGGGATACTCTTCTTCTTTGTTTACACTGGTTTTCGAAACAGCGCCACCACTCACCCTTTTGTGCAACAGCAGCTGCTCCGGTCACGTGATCCTAGCTCAAATCTTATTGGACGGCCCGTGTTTTCGCTTTGCGAAACTGAAAAGATTCGTCGGACTGGTTCGAGAAAAAAAAAATTCACATTTTCGGTGCGTGAATGTTCGCGGTCTATGTGGAAGCATCCATAGAAATCTATTGTTTTATTCCAGCGCGTCATCGCGTCCGATATTCGTTTCGCTTTTTCGCGCTCAGTGTGGAAAGGCCTTAACAATGAAGAAACAAGCTTGTAGCACCCAAGAAGACTTAACCTAGTCTCCTTAAACATTTAAAATACAAATTCAAATAGTATAAATTCTTCTAAATTATTGCAGAAGCCCACCCAATGACCTAACAACAGTTTACCAAGAGGATGAGCTCCAAGTGATATGGCAGAACTAAGTGCATATAAGTAAGTATGTGGAGTATTTGAGATGTGTAAGTGGGCGCGTTAATTTCAGGCCCTTTCCCAATTTGAAGAACATGTATTGCTTAGTTCAGCATGCAGCTCATGGGAAATGTAGAAATGCACATTAAAGTGTGGGCTCCTTTGGACACTCACACAAAGCACAATCGGCCTATGAACTGACCTGCAGCCCAGCTGAGCACTATGGAAAAGCAGCTTCAAGCCCTTAAAAAAAAACAACCTACCACCACCAGAATCCTTTCAGGTAAGGATATTTTTATACTCTTTTTAGTTGTGCGAGCATGCTTCAGGTCCTTGACATGGAGTGATACAGTGTTGGGATAGATAACAGAGTAAGAGTAGTAATGGGGTTTATTGAGAATCAAGAAACTAAACTAATAAAACATTTTAGAGCCTAAATTCCTTTCCATTCTACCTGGAGATCATAGAGCTGGACTGTGACTGGCTGGAGGATGTGGTGGCGGCGCTGAGCTGAGAGAAACCACTGTGACTGGATTCCAAACTGGTCATTGAGCCCCTGAGATTAGAACAGAATAGAATAGCATGTGAGAAATTAATAAGCCTAAAGACTAAAAATAAAATTCTGTAAGAAAAAAAGGTCTAAGGAAAATGGCTAGCTACAATAATTTAATAAAAACCTGTAAGCTACACCCCCTCATGCATATTGGTTTTATCTGTGTTCATATACAGTTAAACAACCAGAGCTTAAGCAGGACATGCAGTTAGAAAAAAGCCAAACTAAGCCAAATAAGAGAAGTATTTGCCTTTTCTCATATTTGACATAAAAGATAAATGTGCTGCAAATAAAAATTTCTCTCAGCATAAAAAGGTAATTAGTACAAATATTCAAGTTATCAAAGCCTACGTGAGTTTAGAATACGCACAAAAAATGATATAAACCTTACAGGCAGAGTATGATTTTTTTTTCTGCTCATTTACCAGCCATAAGACTTCTCAAATTTTTTTTTACATTAAATGCCGTTGCTTACACAAAAAACGTACACTTGAAACACATTTGATTATCTTGGGCATTTGTTGGCTGATGGGCAAAAAGTAAATATCGTACCCTGCTAACCCAATCAATTAAGGTAGCCTTTCATCTGCAAAAATATCTGACAAGCATCTAGCCAGAGCATTTTATTAATATTCAATGTTCCTGTTCTTCATGGCTCCAGAACACATTATTCAAACTGCCTAGATAAAGCTCACATAAATGCCATGTTAAAGCTCTTTCACACCAAGTCTGATGCAGTAAATAAATGACACAAAAGTTCGCAAACAAACCTTTTAGACCGAGTACAATGTAAATCTTCACAATTTTCTGAAATAAATAAATAAAAATGTGCATGCCTGAATCAAAATGCACTCCAGTCATTCACATGCTTTAATGCAAAATACAACCCACCCCTTAAATAGAAATGTTGTCACTCTTCTGGAACAGAACTATGGAAATAGTAAAAATAGTGTAACAAAAAAGCACTGTGATACAGGAATACCAAGGTGTTTTGGTAATAAGTGGTCAAATACTACTATTATACATAAATGGTTAATACTAATATTAACACAGATATGCAACAGACATGATATAAGGCAAGTATATTAAAATTCCTTGCCATATCACATCTTTTCCTTGATTGTTTGTTGCCACCGTTTTTCATCATACAGTGCCATGTAAAAGTTCCATGTAAAATCAACCTACACTCAGTAACGAAGGTTATAAATGACAAAAGGTCAGACTTGGTGTGAACAGGCATTTTACAAAACCTGTTTTAAAACATTTGATCAATTTTACCCTGATAATGGACAATGCGATAAATACTGAACACAGCCAAGAACATACTGGAGTTTCACAAAAGATACACACACACACACACACACACACACTAGGGCTGTCAAAAAAAAAAAAAATTCGAATTTCGAATATTTGTTGAATTTAAAATAAAAATTCACATTCTAATTAAAAAACGTTGCATTCGAATTTTATGCGTGCGTTAGGGAGGCAGCCTTATCAGTGGCTCACGAGATGCGATGACGATGTAAGCGTCGTTGCATTATAATGTATTTGTTATCCTGTCCAGTTGAAGCCACGAGATGCGGTGCTGCTGCGTTGTTCATTAAAAATATTGCGGAAAAAGAGAACATCTATGCGGAGAAGATCTTGTTTACATCACAACTGAAACCAAGCTATTCACACAGAGTGCATATTTCGCGCATTTTCTAGAAGGACATCTATCACTGTTACACTCGCGTCTTGCACAAAAGAGCCAGATGTTTAGAAAGCCATATAAAATTAATGCAAGTTTAACTTTGGAAAAAAAAAAAAACATCTCGAGATTTATGGCGGTTTTTTCCCCCCCATCCCATTGCAACTCATGTTTTTAAATGAAAAATGTACTCTGTGTGATTGGCTTTCGGCCCTTTGTATTAAACTATGCATACATACATGATGCTGTTTTGTTTATAGCTGTTTAAGCAACTTAATTAATTATAATTGGTTTATAAACATTATTTTAAACATTACTAACACACACACACACACACACACACACACACAGTGTTAGACAGCCCTAATACACACATAGTATGGCTGTGTCCAAAAGCTGAAAAATGCTGTCTCCACAGGAGGGCAGGAAGGCAACAAGGCACGTCCGAATCCAATGATCGTGTCACATCCTGTCTACTGAGATACCTTCATCTGATAGATTTTTGAAGGCAGATTAGAAGTGGACCTATCCTTTGCTGCCTTTGATATCCCACAAACCTGTGCGATCTATTCTGTAACAGTTGAATTATAGTAGTTGAATATTCGCTTAGTTATTACCAAAGCTCTCTCTATTTTGCTGTAGATGTTTAAATGGTTAAGCTGCCTCAGAAGTATGTCCAAAATCAGTTTCATGATGTACCTTCGTGCACAAACGCTACCTGCAACGCCATTGTCTGATAGGGCAGTGAGGCATCAAGTCAGCTGCCTAAGCTTTCAGACACAGCCTATAAGGCCAAAAGTTTTGGAACACACCTCTTAATCATTGAATAAAGGTTTCAGTCAGACCCATTGCCACAGGTGTATAAAATCAAGCACCTAGCCATCCAGTCTACATTTACAAAAATAAATAAATAAATAAAAAATCGGTCATTCTGAATCGCTCAGTGAATTCACGTGTGGTACTGTGTCAGTTCATGAAATTTCATCCCTGCAACAACTTCCATGGTCAACTGTAAGTGTTATTATTGGAAAGTAGAGGCATTCAGCCATTAAGAAGACCCCATGAAGTCACAGAGCAGGGCCACAGACTTCTGAGGCGCATGGTGCATAAAAGCCTGATTTCATGGCTGAAGCGTTCCAAACTTCGCTTGGCATTAATATTAGCACAAAAACCGTGTTTGTGTTTATGCTACAAATTATGAAGTTCTTCTAGCTCAATGTAGTTTGTTGGTTGAGCAATTTCATTAGGGGTTGTCATAACTCAAAAAGATTGATGGAAACAGTTCCATTGAAGTCCCCATCAAACACCTTCGGGATGAATTGGAACAGAGACTGAGGCTGGCTCAGGCCTTCTCATCCAACATCAGTGCCTGACCTCACAAAACCTCTACTGGATGAATGGGCAAAAATTCCCACAGTTCCACACTCCAAAATCTTGTGGAAGGCTTTCCCAGAAGCATGGAAGCTGTTATAGCTGCAAAGGGGGATCAACTCCATATTAATTTAGAATGCAATGTCATAAACCCCGGCTCATATAATGGTCAGGTGTCCCAATACATTTGTCCATAGTGTATATGATCAGTTTACAAATTACTATTGGAAGTAATTTTGGAAGAAGGTTCTTAATAGGAAATGGGTTTTCAAAAGCTTATGTCATATTCATCTAGGCCAGGGGTGCCCAACCCTGCTCCTGGCAATCGACTGTCCTGCAAAGTTTAGCTCCAACTCTAATCAAAGACACCTGCCTTTAATTTTTAAGTGATCCTGAAGACCCTAATTAGTTGCTTCAGGTGTGTTTGATTAGGGTTGGAGCTGAACTTTGCAGGACAGTCGATCGCCA